CCCTAATCCCCTAAACCCGAAACCCTAAACCCGTAAACTTGAAACCTTGAACCCCTGAACCCTTAAAGTTGAAACCTTGAAACCCTGAACCCTGAAGCCTAAACCCTAAACCCTAAACCTTAAAGCCCTAAACCCCTAAACCCCAATTCTGGCTTTGAGGTCTGGGGCCGAAACGCTAATACCCCCGGGCATCTCTACAACGCTAACATCGTGACCAGTCCAGAGGGTTTAAGGTTTTTGTTTATTTTGTTCAAGGGGTTTAGGATTTATTACGGTTTTGGTTTAGAGAGTTTAGGGTTTAAGGTTTTTGTTTGAAGGGTTTAGGGTTTAAGATTTTTGTTTAGAGGGTTTAGGGTTTAAGGTTTTGTTTAGAGGGTTTAGGGGTTCAGGGTTGAGGGCTTGTCGATAGACTTAACACTTTTACGGTTCTGGGTCTAGGGGTCTAAGTCTAGGGCTTAGGGTTTCTAAATGCCTTGGCAGTGCGACCATAAACCCTGAAACCCCCAAGCCCTTACACCTTGGACCTTGGCGCGTTGACCCTGAGCCTTAAACCCCATACACCTAACCCTAAACCCTCTATGAACCCTAAACGCCCTAAAATGCCGGATCCTTAAACCCTAAACCCTTACCCCCGCCCCCGTCCCCGCCCCCAAAAAAACAAACAAATAATCGCCCTACAAGGCCTGAGCCCTGTATTCCATGGCTTGCCAGGACCTCTGAGGGTATTCTAGAATGGAGCCCTTCATAGTAGGGTTTAGGGTTTAGGGGTTTAGGGTTTAGTGTTTAGGGTTTAGTGTTTAGGGTTTAGGGTGGTCCTTAGCAGTGAGTCGCCTTGCCAAACCCTAAACCGTAAGCCCTGAATCCTGTAGAAAAGCGGGGCGTGCTGATTTAGTGTAGGCCCTTATTTGGGTAGGCGCGCTTTGGAGAAAGGGGCGTCATTGCACTTTAAAAAAAACACCAAATCCCTAAACCCAAATCCTAGCCCTGAACCTCTAAACCCTAAGCCTTATAAGCGGAGGGTCCTTGCCAAGGTGAGTGTGCTACTTTGGGAGGCCACTGAATCCTTGCGCAAGGCTGGATCGCAGTGGTCTGCTTTGCTTAGTACCGGAGCCTTAATAACTAGAAGTAGCATCAGGGAGGCCCCTTAAAGGGGACCCTTCTTAGCCCTACTTATGGCTCTCTTTAAACGGGACCTTATTGGGAGGGTCTATGTCTTCAAGAGTCCCCCTAATCCTAGCTCCTACTAACGGACCCCCAACCCCAAACCCTAAACCCCTAAACCCGTAAAACCCCAAACCCTAAACTCTAAACTCTAAACCCTAACCCTTAAATCACAACCCTTAAACCCTAAACCCTGAACCTAAGTAATTTGGAATAGGGTTTTGGGGTGGGGGGCTGCAGAGGGGTCCAGCAAAGAAGGATCCCCTGCTTGCGGCTTATAGGGCTTATAGGCTTTAGGTTTTAAGGTTTTAAGGTTTAGGGTTTAGAGTTTAGGGTTTAAGGTTTAGGGTTTAAGGTTTAGGGTTTAAGGTTTAGGGTTTAAGGTTTAGGGTTTAGGGTTTAGTAGGGCTTCGGGTTTAGGGTGTAAGTTGAGTGCTGAGGGGTAGGGTTTAGAGCTGAAGCGGGGTGTAGGGTTTATGTACAGCCCTAAGGGTCCATGTACCCAAAGAGTAGATACTTTGGCCTCAAAGTAGTCCCTATATAGGTACTTTGGGGCCACAGTATATACTATTTGGGTACACCCTAAACCCTAAACCCTAAACCCTAAACTCCCTAAACCCTAAACCCTAAAGTTTCGGCCCCAAACTTCAAAGCCTGAATTAGGGTTTAGGGTTTAGGGTTTCGGGTTTAGGGTTTAGGGTTTAGGGGGTTTTGGGGGTATAGGGTCTAGGGTAGGGTTTGGTTGGACCCAAACAGGTGTGCGGCATGATTCCAGGTGGATTCCAAAATCCTGGGAGTACGAGGAGTCGGTGTTTGTATAGATGCCTGTGTGAAACCCTGGGTTTTTGCCCCTAAATGCTTCACTCGAGAAGCGAGACCATGAACATCCTTCAACCACAAACTAAAGACCTGAGACTCCGGACACAAACCAACGTAATGTTGGGGTTAAAAAAATAGAATAGGGTTTTGGGGCCATTATACTGTACCTATAATAAGGGACCCACCCCCCAAAAAATACTCTTGGTAAGTATTTAAGCCCCTGTAGTAGTTCTGCAACACCCCAAAGTTAAGCACTTTTGGGTTCTTACAGCCTAGCATGAATTTGACAATTTGGCAAGATTTTGCCTCAGTGGCTTGTTGGGGAAGTAAGCGAAGTACGAGGTTGGAAGAGATAGTCATAGTATTCCCTTCTGGTCGACATTTTTCATAGTATAGTAGTATACCTCGAAACCACATTCCAAATATCAAGGCTTCTTTACCCTTAATATAGGGGCTTAAATAATTACCAATACTATTGTGGGGGTTCCTCTCATTATAATTATAGTATAATAGATCCCAAAACCCTACTCTAATCATTAAGGCCCCTACATTATACACCCACCGAGCTGCAGACGCTGGGGGCCTAGCCCTAGACCCTAAACCCTAAACCCTAAACCCTAAACCCCAAATCCTAAACCCGAAACCTAAACCCTTCAGGCCATCTCCCACATCTTCGGGAAAGTGGATCAGATGGACCAGGCCACGAGTGCATGGAAGTGTCATCTCGAACGGACCGTCGCTAGTACATATATATATATATGTTTAGGGTTTAGGGTTTAGGGTTTAGGGTTTAGGGTTTAGGGTTTAGGGATATATATACATTATGTGTATCTACGTATTCACATGCATTACATACTTATATACATATGCATATAATGTGTGTTCGCGGCTTTGGTTTTAATATTTGTAATGTCTGTAGTTCTGGAACCTCAATTGCAAAAGGGTGCGAGCTAGATATTGCCAGCATGACATGCCTGAAGTCAGCATCCAAGTTTCGAGCCAGCTGCGTAAGCACAGCAACATAGACCTTAAGCCCTAAACCCTGAATCCCTAAACCCTAAACTCTAAAACCCTAAACCCCTAAACCCTGAACCCTAGAACTCTAAACCCTAAACCCTAAAACTGTAAACCCTAAACTCTAAAACCCTAAACCTAAGAGGAATCTCAGTTGGCTCTGTGCTCGAAGCCGAAACCCCAAAACGCGGGGCGCTAGGATCCGAAAACCGAACCCTTAGCCTTTGAAGCTTGGGGTTTAGGGTTTAGTTTAGAGTTTAGGGCTTAGAGTTTAGGGTTTAGAAGGGTTCATGTACCCAACTAGTATGTACTTTGGCTTTAGTCTAGTCACTTTTTTCGGTACTTTGGGGGTCAAAGTACATACTATTTGGGTACATGGACGGGGAAGGAAACATCCGAAGCCTTAAAGAGACTAAGCGTTAACACTGACAAGTCCTGGGCTTAGGGTTGTCGGGTTTAGGGCTAAGCTCTAAGGGCTTTAGGAGGGACTATTCATAGGGACCCATTTGTAGGTTATAGGGGTTAATATGAAGACTACCTGGCTAGATAAGGGATATATAAGGACTATACAATAGTTATTTAAGCTAATGGGATTAATGGTCCCTACTCCCTCCTAAAGTCCTTAGAGTAACGGCCCTAAAACACTCTAAACGCTCAACGCCTACAGCGACCCTGACGGCCAGTTGATCCCGCACTGGTTGGTGCAGAAGGCCAAGATAACAAAGCGAGCCAGTGCCTAAGGAAAGGGTTGTTAAGGCTTAGGTTTCAGGGTTTAGGGTTTAGGTTTTAGGGTTTAGGTTTTAGGTTTTAGGGTTTAGGGTTTAGGGTTTAGGGTTTAGGCTTTAGGTTAAGTG